CCTAAGACGCCAAATCAAAGAATTCCGAATAAAATATAATCTTCCTAATCCAGATATCCCCAAACCAGGACCAAAACCAATTATGGCTGAAAATCAAGACTATCCTCTTAAGGAATATGTTGCTCTATCATAAGAAGAGCCACACAACAACATTACAACCTCGGCCATCGATCGAAACGATTTCGAGTTGAAACCTTCATTTTTACAAGCCGTACAACAAAACCAATTTTCTGGTAGCCTTGTGGACGATCCGGATCTTTATTTATCTGTGTTTGTGCAGTACGAAGACACAGTGAATGCAAATGGTGTTAACCCCAAATCCATAAGACTATGTATTTTTCCTTTTTATTTAAGAGATATAGCTAGGGCTTGGCTCCAGTCTTTGCCATCCAACTCTATCACTACGTGGGACGAGTTAAAGAAAGTCTTTTTAGCAACATACTTTCCACCTAGAAAGACTGCTATGCTAAGAGCCCAAATCAACGGATTTAGGCAGAAAGACAATGAATCTCTTTTCGAAGCTTGGGAGAGATACAAGGATATGTTGAGGCTTTGCCCACATCATTAACTTGAACCATGACTGATTATCCATACTTTCTATAATGGTTTACTTTACAACACCAAATTAAATATAGATGATGCAGTTGGCGGCGCTCTAATGGACAAACCTTATGAAGACACCTATCAACTCATTGAAAGAATGGCACAAAACCACTTCCAATTGGGAGGTGAGCGAACTCCTACAGAGAAACCACCATTGAAGTGCAGAATTTACGAAGTTAATGGCATAAACCATGGCAATGCTAAAGTAGATGCACTTACTCAAAAGATTGAGAGTTTGACTGTAACTCCAGCAGCTACTGTAGTTGTTGCGACACCTAGTTGCGAGCTATATGGAACCCCTAGGCACAACACCCTTGAATGGCATTTATTGGTTGGAATTCCAACCGACCAAGTAAACTATGTCCAAGGAAACCCGTACTCAACCACATATAATCCTGGCTGGAGAAACCATCCTAATTTTTCCTATAAGAGCAACAATGCTTTGTTTGCTCCAAACCCAACACCAGTTGTTCCTCTAGGTTATCAAAAAGGAGCCTCCACTGCTCCTCAAGCATCTAGGAAGTCAAATGTCAAACTAATGTTAGAGAACTTTATCGTAGCCCAAACCCATTAAAACAAATATTTTGCCAACCAACACCTTCACATGAGTGAACTAATGAAACGATTATCGAGTAAGGTTGACGCAATGACTACTCACAATAAAATGTTAGAAACCTAAATTTCTCAAGTGGCCCAACAACAGGTAGCAACAACAGCCCCAACTGGAGTATTTCCTGTCCAACCACAACCTAACTCGAAAGGTCATGCTAATACTATCACACTGCGAGGTGGGACAAAATTAGATGGCCCAGTAGATCCTAGAATCCAAAATCCACCCATGTATCAAAACTCTAGAAAAGAAGTTAAAAAGGTAACAAACAATGACCAACCAGAAAAACCAACTAACAATGGAAAGGAAGACAAAATCAAAGAGGCGGTAGAGAAAGAAATATCATACGTGCCTCCACCACTGTATAAACCACTCATTCCTTATCCTTAAAGACTTGCTAAGTCTAAAAACAAAGGACAATTTAAGAAATTTGTAGAGCTTCTGAAACAGCTGAACATTACAATACCTTTCACAGAAGTTATTACTCAAATGCCTTCATATGCTAACAGTGACGCTCACTGCTGAGTGTAGCGCTATAATTTAAAACAACATGCCTCTGAAGTTAAAAGATCCAGGTAGTTTTCCCATACCATGTGTAATTAGGAAGTTTGTCATATACAAAGCACTTTGCGACTTGGGAGCCATTGTTACTTTAATGCCCTTTTCCATCTGCGAAAAGCTCAAACTAGGAGAAGTAAGACCAATGAGAATGCCTCTCCAACTAACCGACCATTCTGTTAAATTTCTTGTAGGTATGCTAAAGAATGTTCCCGTTCTATTAGGTCAATTCTACATTTCCACCGACTTTATAATTATGGACATAAAGGAGGATTCTGACATCCCAATCATTTTAAGAAGACCCTTTTTGGCCACTGCTAGCGCCATCATAGTTGTGAAGAAAGGAAAGCTAACCTTTAAGGTTGGTGAAGAAAAAGTTAAACTTATTTTATCATAATTCCTAAAGGCACCAGCTATAGACGATTCTTGTTGTTCCTTGGACATCACTGATGAACGTGTAAGAGAAATGGAGATGAAACCACCTTAGTATACTGAAGTACTAAAGATTCCAACACCTCATATATTTGAAGATGACTTAACGGGACAATAACATAAAATAATTTTGATAAACAAAGTGTTATGTTTATGTAATCTGGTCTTTGATTTTTATTTTTTTTACTCGTGTGAGTTCTGAGATTCAACTCGTCTAAATTTGATATTATAAAAATTAATAAATAAAATAGAAAAGTCACTAACACATTTTTATAGTAAGAATATTAGTAAAATACTCGTGTCTACGTACAGATATTAGCATGGTATGCGCATTAGTTTTAAAAATGTAATAAAAATGAAATGAAAGAAGACAAAATTGTTTAACCAAAAGAGTTTATTATTTTTAAAAAAGATAATAAGTCTGCACCTATAATATTTTCATATATAAAAATATTATAATCAACGATATATTTTATTTGTATATAAATATTATTTTTGTTTTAAATTTACAAAAATATTTGAATCAATAATAAAGTGGTTCTCATTATTATTCAATATTTTGATAAGTAAGTTTTTGTTTCTGATATAATTGTTTTAATTTGGTGTTTAAAAAAAATAATAAGTTATAATTTATTCAAATTTTATTTTCTATAGTTGATCAACATCATCAAAAATATTAATAACAATAAAAATCATGTATTAAGTAATTAAGATTAAAATAAGTCATTAAGAAGGTGAAAGATTATAAAACAAATATCAATTTTTAGTTTTGCTTTCATTCCCTTTTCCGTTCCTATTTTATGCTTCTATTTAAAAAAATGATAGAAGGGATGAACTTTAAAGGAGAATAAATCTTAATATTATTGTAGCTCAAAAAGATAAGACTTAACAAGAAAGTTAAACAAAATTCAAACTTATAGATCTATAATCCTCTTAAGTAACCAAACACGAGTAACTCCTTGAAGTTTTAGAAGTAAATAGAAAGAAAAAGAAAATATAGTTATTATATTGTAGTAACAAAGAAGATAAATAGCAGTAAGTGAACTTGATTTTGAAAAAAAAAAGAGAAGAAAAGAATATGTGAGAATTAATAGGATCTTCCATTGACCCATAGCATGTCAAGAAATTCCTTTGAAATCCTCTTTTTGCTTTTATAAAATAACTTCTGGTGTTGGTGGTGTAAACCGGTTGGACTGGTTAAGATTTTCTTTTATTTCCTTATAACAAATAAAAATCATGCAGAATTTAAAATCATTGAATCGAAAATGAAATAGTTTTCCATTAAATATGATATTTTTCCTAAACCACACCAGTCAAGATTAAAAACCTCACTATTAAATATGATATTTTTCCTAAATCTCCACATACACCAAACAATAATTAACTAAAAAGCCTCAAATTTTAGGTTGCCTTCAATTTGGGATCCTAAACCACACCAGTCAAGAAAGAACTCACAGATATCTAGTTTATTTTCTTGTTTAATAAACTAGATAACCCTTTTGTAGGGCTTCTGCTGAATCGAAAATAATAGTGGTTAAATTTTGAAAAGAATTTGAAAGGTTAACATTTACAACTCTCAATCATTGAACCAAAAAATGAAATGGTTCTCTATTAAACCGAAAAGAATGTTTGAAGTTTTAATATTTAAAGATAAAAATAACAATTTTAAATCGAAAAAATAATAGTTGTTAAGCTCTAGAAAAAAGTTGGAAGCTTTAACATTAACGGCTCTCAAAAACATTATTGAACCAAAAATGAAATAGTTCTTTATTAATCTAAAAAAAAGTTTGAAGATTTTATGTAGATGTGACAATTTTGAACTAGAAAAACAAATAGCTGTTAAGCTTAAATTGAAAGTAAATTGGAAGCTTTAATAATATTTACAGATCTCGGTAACATTATTGAATCAAAAATGAAATGATTTTTCATAAAATCCACAAACAAATTTGAAGGTTAAAAGTGAAAGAAAAAGTAAATGAAAGTGTCAAATGTTACTTTTGTTTTATTCAAAAGTATTAGAAAAATGGGAGAAAAATGAGAGAAGAGAGAAAACCTAAGGTAAGAAAAGACAGAAAGAAAGTAGTAAATTAGTTAAATGAAGCAAAACTTGTCATAGAAATTATAAATTGATTTTTTAATAATAAAAATGACATCAATTATGTAAAATGGTCATAATTATATGAAATTTAATAGGTGGCAGAAAAAGTTTTTGGAGTAATGAAGTAATCTTCAGAGAATTCTTTTTATATGATAGATTAGTACAACAACTGAATATATATATTTTTAATTACATGTATGTAGATGCAATTTCTCCGTCTTTCGATTAATTTTTTATAGAGATTAAAAAAATAATTAAATAAGAGAAAATAATATTTTGATTAGAATATCTTTATTAATAAAAATAACACTGTAAAATTAAAAAAAAAATGTATTGAAACGATGGAACGAAGGAGTAAGATTATACAGGCAGCCTATCAAAACAAAAGATAATGTATCAGTTTGGCGCGTGCTTACGTCACTATTTCTTGCACTTTGCGTGTCGTCTATTGGCAAATACTCTCTCTACCATCCGTCAATAATATCGCAATTGCGTCGTCCCGATGAATAAACTGTGCGAAGAATAATATACAAATCACTTTTGTTTTCGTTATCATCTATACGGAATGTGACTTCTGAAAGTGCAGAGTTTTTATTCGATTATAACTTATAAGCAACTTTTAACTTGTGGCGTTTTGCTGTGACACTTTGGCTTAAAGAGAGAGATTTCAGGATTCGCATCACTCTATATATATACATCATGGCAACGGCTCCGTTCATTCACGCGCGCTGTTCTTACTCATCTCGAATCTCCAATTTCATCAACAAGAGTGGCTCACATCAAAGCCCTGTTGCATCTTCCTCTTCTCATGCTTCTCCCTCCTCTTCTTCTTCGTCTTCCGCGTCCAATTCCGGTTCCAATTTTCCTTCTGCTATATTTTTGGTTTCCTTTCTCTTCTTACGCCTTTTCTTGTTTTGCTTTCCGATTATTGCAATTTAATTTATGATTTTTTTTCTTTCTTTTTAATCTTACTATTATCTGATTTAGATTATTGTGCGTGTATGAGGTAGCATTTTTTGTTTTAGGCATGTCATTGGATTATAACAATGTGAATCCCAAGGGTTTGCGTTTTGTAGATTCTAATATTCTTTGAATTCAAATGGTTTGTGTTGATTTAAGTAATCAAAGGATGCACATACTAATATGGGGTTTAGAAAATTCTACTTAAGCTAAAAAGAAGCACGTATATGAATATCTTAGCAAAATCACCTTTTAGTCCTAGGCTTATTGGTCAATCTTATCTTAACTATTACTACTACTTTAATAAAACTCGATAATTAACCCTGTCACCATGATGGAGCTTAGCGATAAAAACTAACCTTGGCCTTTTGTATATGTATATTTTTCAACAGGAGTGTAAACTAAATCCAATTCTTTCTTTGTTCTTTGTTTCCTAACGGCATGTCTTACTTTAACATGGTAGAGAAATACAGTTTCCATTTTTGCTATGTAGTATTGAGATACTTTAAACTTTTCAGTTGTTGAATAGTCAAATTCACCAAATGATGGCACTCTAGACTTGATAAATGCAATAGAAAGAAGTTGATCAAAATCAAGCGTAACTCTTTGGTTTTAAGAGTTTGTTGATATGTCACTTGATGTTTTGGGTTTTGATGTCTTATTTTTATCATACAATTGGCAATCACATATCTCTAGGTTTGTTTGGATTTCTGTTACAAATGTATGTTTGCGCCAAAAAAAGACCACATTTACGTTTGGTGCAGACTTACATTTTTCCAACAGAGCCTAACAGACATTTACTCATTGCCTTCAATTTTAAACAAATGCAATTTTTGTGGTCAAACATTAATCAATATAAAATCATTCATGTTCGCGTAGAAGTGATTGAAAAGTTAAGCACGTGTATGGAGGTCAACCTGGTAGAGAAAAACTTATATTGTAGGTATAATATTGCCTTTGCATTTGCAAGAAATTGATTCGCCAACTCACACCCGTGATACCAATCACGTGGCAACTATTATGCCATGATAAAGTTTCTATCTATTAGTAGATATGTCTTGGTTGTAATCCATGGAAGTCGTGGCTTTAGTAGGATTGGAGTCACGAGTCGCCGCAGATTTTAGTCTTCGAAGTAGCCTATCCGAACAGAGTTGTAGGATTTTGTGCATATACTCACATAATGCTCCACTGACCCTGGAGTAGTGGGAACTTTGTGCATTGAGAAACACTTTTTTTTTCCCGGTTATGGCCTCATTGGCTTGCTTTCTCCATCCTCTGTATTTGTCAATCATTTTTTTATACTAGTACTAGCCCAAGCCTAGTAAGTAGTCTAATAATCCAATTATGATAACAAGTGAATGACCATCTTAATATTGATGCAAGTATGAATAGGATTTAGCTTTCATTAAAGCTGGCTAATGAACTTTGGCAGGTACAAACAGTGGACAGAGACACCAGGGCCTAAGAGCTCAAGCTATGAGTGCTACCACTAATGGAAAGCCTATTTCTAGCATGGGAAATTCTAGGAATGAACCAGATCATCTCCTTGTTCTTGTTCATGGTATCTTGGCTAGGTATTTTTATATTTATACTTAGAAAACAATAAATTGCTCAAATTGTTGTATTGAATGGTGGCTGAACTGAAAGATGGAATTAGTATGCATAACACTTTTACAAGTAGTTATATATTCATATTGAAGTTTAACTGGAAAGAATTATATTTTTAACCTTGTTTATGAATAGTTGGCACCCTTTCTGGTTTACTTGTCCATCATAAGTCTGATTCATTTTATAAAAGAAAATTTTAAGTTCACAATTTAGTAGATGAAAGCGAGAAAAGTTAAATTTTGGGGCAATGATCATGTGCCATACATACATCCACTTATTTCTGTTGGTCATTTGATTGTTGTTCTGTAGCTTAGTCTTGTACAAAGCTGTACTAATATTTTTACTGATACAGCACTGCGGACTGGACTTATGCAGAAGCAGAGTTGAAAAGGCGCCTTGGAAAGAACTTTCTAATTTTTGGTTAGTACGTATTTCACTTGTGGTTCCCATGTTATTTATTTTTTTGTCTTTTGTAAAGCATGCATGTAAGAGCATAAACCCAAGGGAGCTTGATAAAAAAAGTGTGCATCTGTAACATTTAGTGGAGTTCGAAGTGAATTTCATTTATGTCTTTAATTTCAGTCAGTTATTCAAAATTTTCTGGTAGTTTATATTATGATTTGGCTTGCAAAATTAAGCTCTCGCTCTTGTGCTGAATCTTCTTCCTTTTTTTCAAACTTTTTTTTTGAGTTAAATGCATTAGAAAGTCTATTTGTAGTATTGCTTGGAAAGTAGTGATCCTAAGCTGTTCAAAATAACAGTATTTGTCTTAGAGCTGTGAAAGTTTTCTTTTGAATCACTTAAGTTCCTCTTTCATGAACATAAAGTTACTTGTCTGGCTGAAGTCCTTAAGAATTATTTGATCTCTGCAGTAAGTTCATCAAATACTTATACCAAGACGTTTACTGGGATTGATGGAGCTGGAAAGCGATTAGCTGATGAAGTGAGTCATAAGATATGCAGATTTCTGTGTCCAATGTTTGGACACCCAATTTAAGTTCTAATAACTTTGAGTTTCTTTTGAGCTGTTTCATGTATGTTTATTTCCTTTTATCAAAACAGGTCTTGCAAGTTGTCAGGAAAACAAAAAGTCTGAAAAGAATCTCCTTTCTGGCCCACTCTTTAGGAGGCTTGTTTTCTAGATATGCAATTTCTGTCCTCTATTCACATGATACCTATAATAGGGACCAACCTGATGATCTTGCACACAACATGGAAGAAAATTCCCAGAGCACAAGCTTTTCGAAAGGAGGGATGATTGCTGGGTTGGAGCCAATCAATTTTATTACTTTAGCTACTCCACATCTTGGTGTAAGGGGAAAAAGGCAGGTTTGTTCCGGACCATATCACTTATGTGCCTATGTTTTTTTTTTTTTTTTGCTTTATATAAGGTGTTATAATTTTTGTATCGTTGAATCTCCTACATTATAGTATGTTGGTTGAAGCTAAAATCAAGTTAAGGCACCATTTTTTTGTACTATATCTTTTACTGCTCATTTATGACTGAAGTATATTAAAATGCAAATAGTTAAAAAGTTATGAGATATAATTACATGTAAGGATTTTAAACTTACTGAAGCCCTGTAGTATTCTTGTATATAAGCATATTAAAAACATCACTCTAGTATTTGTTTCTTCTTTTGCAGTTTTACTCTATATACCCCTATATTTTAATATGGTTTTCGTTATTATTGTCTCTACTTTGTAATATTACCTTAGCTTATAATTTGAAGCATTGATATTCCATACAACCAATCTGAATTATATGGGTCCCTCCTTTTTCCTGTATATAATTTGTTCCTTCTGTTTTCCTTTTATTGTATGAATTATGATTTGACCCAACTATTCTTTCTTGATCAGTGATCTGCAGAAACCAGTTTTTCTTACTTAGTTATTACTTTCTGTATTTTTTTTTAACATACAAGCATATGTCAGAAACCAGTACTGAAGTACAAATTAATAGTAATAACTTAATTTTAATAATGCAACATGTGTTTACAACATACACATAATTACAACATATACATAATTCACACATAAACTAAATAAATAATTATCACACTATTAAAAGACAGCCCAAGAAATTTGACAGTCATGATCTCTCCCTCCAAGAATTCGAGAACTAGGTCCTCCAAGAATTAGAGAGCTTCGTCTCTCCCTCCAAATACCATTCAAAAATTGTCCCATAATCAGTTTCTCCTATTCGTTTTCTTATTTATTCCTCAATTAAATAATATAACTGCCATGATAACTTATCGTAACTACCCATAACTGCCATTAGAAGAAGTCTAACAGCATATAACCTCCGAAGACATTTTAAAATGAAAAAAGGAAGAGTAAAAAGAGGAGAGAATACTAATAGCTCTTCCTCAATAGCAGTGTTAAACCAAAAAACGGACAACATGGTGCTATAAAGTACCCTTCATAGGGTTCAGGGAAGGGTTGGACCAATTGTGGGTCTATTTTAGGCTGCATTACCTTGCATTTGCTGGAGACCGATCTAATGACCATGTCACATGGCAGCAACTTCAACTGTTGTGCCAATGCTTCCCTTCACTAGCACTAGCACTTCCAATAATGAGAGAAAGTTCAATTGGGATTTATATTATCCACAAACAGACCCTGACAAAATTTAAATCTTACTGGATAAATCTTATGTTGATGACACTGAGTCAACCCTTCGTTGAAACTCTTCATGTTTCTCAATTTACACCAAAAGTTTACCGGACATGAGAGTTTTGACCGTGTAGTGTGCATATTTTCCAGCTTCCATTTCTGTTGGGCGTCCCAATACTAGAAAAGATTGCTGCACCTATGGCTCCTTTATTTGTTGGTCGGACTGGGAGTCAGTTGTTCCTTACTGATGGTAAACCCAACAGACCGCCTCTTCTGTTGAGAATGGCTTCTGATTGTAAAGATGGAAAGTTTCTGTAAGCAAAGGAATCTATTGGTGCTAACTTTGCATTCTTTTTTCAATTAAGTAATCTGTTACTTACAAGATTTAGTGTTTTTGCAGATCTGCACTTGGAGCATTTAAATGTCGCATTATTTATGCTAATGTTTCATATGATCGTATCCTCTCAGTATGTTTTATTTATTCTATGACCTGCTAGCTATATAAGTGCTAACTTTTGGTCCTCTCTTCGTCAATTTGGTAATTTCTTTAACTTAATATAGATATGGTTGGATGGCGCACATCCTCGATAAGGAGGGAAATGGAGCTCAGTAAGGTGAATATGATGATTTCTCCTTTTGGTTTAACTTGTTCAGTTGTTATTGATCTCCAATTTTTAAGACTTAAGATGCTTAGAGTTATATACTGTATATTCTGCATTGTTAATGTCTCGAGCGTGTAATCTAATTACTCGTTGTGAGGTAATCACTAACATTCTAATTTGTTATTAAGTCAAATGAAAAGCATAAAAAAGAGGAGAGGGATTTCAATGGGCAAACAAGAGAAGAACTGAATCTTCTTTATTGAATTGGAAAAGTATTAGCACTAATCTGGTTATATAGGCTAAGCCTAATAAATCATAATCAAGAAAAAGGGAATAAAATCCGTCCTAATAATAACTGGTACATTGAACATATGCACGTAGAATATTTTATCCTAAATTTTTGCCAGTTACATATTTACAAATTCTCCCTCAAGCTGTTCAATAAATGTCAATCATTCTCAGCTTGCACTTAGGATCTCAGAACTACTTGGTGGTAAGTCCTTGGTGTTTACCAATGGAAGCCCACAGGGGGTTTAGGTAATAGTTAATTGAAGCCACTATAGAAGTCCCTTGGTCGCAAGTCCCTTGGTGTTTACCAATGGAAGCCACTATGGAATAGCTTCATCGGATCCTCGTAATGCATATTTAGGTCATCAAGTTTGATCTTCAATTCCTCACACCCATAACACCTCATAGACATTATGATCCATATCTTGAAATTCTGTCTTTGCACTTGACCTTGCAACTAGGATATGCTTTTGCTCCTCCTTGTCACCTAATTTCCTCCCAAAACCATGTAGTGCTCTGAGATAGACTTTCTATCAACAATCCACCCTGCACAGTCTGCATTTTTGTACATCTCAAGGATAACTTTCCTTTTCTCTTTAGCAAAGTATGTAGACCTTCTCTCATCTATCAAGAAGGATTTTTATGGCCCGTTTGTTTTGCCTTTTTTAAAAAATGGTTTTTACAGTGTAACATAATTTTATGGAAAAAATTTTAACAAAGAAATTTTTCATAAAAGCTTTTAATGAAAATTTGGTTTGAATAGTTATTCTCAAAATGTTATTTTAAATATTTCATCATTTTATCGAAAAAAATTTTGGATATCAAAATTTCGAAAAAAACACAAATTTGAAGCTATTTCAAATAGCTTTTCATAAAATCATTTTTGAGATACAACTTTTTTCAAAAATTGCGATTTCGACTAAGTTTTGATCTTCAATAATATATGTTTATGTTGTATGGTGTCAAAATTTGTTATTCTCTTTAGAAAAAATGAATATAGAAAATTTTTTACTATTTTGAAAAACGGTTTTACAAAATCCATTTTTGAAAATACAAAGAAAAAATTCATTTTTTTAAAGCTAAAACAAACAGGCCCATAATTAGCAGTGTGTTAACCTAGTTCATTAGTAGCCTAATCTTTGGCATCCCTTCATAATTATATATTGAAATTTGAAGTGGAAATTCCTATCACTGCAGAGTCACAACCTGTTGGCATGAAATGAAAACCTTTGTCCAAGAATGCATGTGGTATAGTTTGAAAGTTGTATTTGTATTATATGATACTTGCATTACTGGTGTTCTTGAAAAAAGTATATAAATCCTTTATAAAAAAATAAAATTAATGATGGATCAAAGCAATTTGCTGCAACTAAAAGATTGTTAGTTGTATTAATTCTGGCATCCTAGTTGACCAGTGTCATGATTTGTGTCGCAAACTTGGAAGATAAATTATTAACTTTTGGGATAGAAATAACGATAGCATCAGTGTTCTTCAGGCTGATTCCATAAAAAAACTAGGGGGAGAAATTATTTAATGTAGAACAGGAAAACGTTTGAAATGGAAAATTGAGAATGCTTGTATGTTTCTAGCGTACTAACACTTTTTATTCTATTGACAGCCTCCTCGCCAATCTTTAGATGGATACAAGCACGTGGTTGATGTTGAATATTGCCCTCCAGTCCCTTCTGATGGCCCTCAATTTTCTCAAGAAGCAATGAAAGCAAAGGAAGAAGCACAAAATGCACCTGGTACCCAGAAGACTGTGGAATACCATGAAATCATCGAAGGTGATATTATTGCCTAGAGTAGCTGAAGAATTATGAATTATCTGTTCAGAGTTATCAGTTATCTGTTCTGTCGTTCCACTAAAGCCACTATGTATCTTCTGAACAGAGGAGGTCATACAGGGATTACAACAGTTGGGATGGAGAAAAGTTGATGTCAGCTTCCATTCATCATTCTGGCCTTTCTTTGCTCATAACAACATTCATGTAATGTATCCACCTGTTCTCTCGGATGATGATGATGGTATCATTGATAGAGATTTTAACACCAGAACTTCTCAATTTCAGGTCAAAAATGAATGGTTTCACAATGCTGGTATAGGAGTAATTTCCCACGTGGTTGATAGCTTGAGACATCAAGAAGCATCGTCAATATTGACTGCTAGCTTGTAATTAGTGTATGTAACTTCACTATGCCTGAGACATGACTAAATGCATAACACAGGATTTTTATTCTGTGTCACCAATACTTTTATCAACAATTCCTTATAATCATATGTTCATGAAAGAATATGATTTTATAAAAAAAGAAAAAAAAAAGGAAAACATGTAGTAGTTTTTACTTAATTGTAATTATTATACGACTTAGTATAAGGATTCATTATCACACTAATGAAATGTATTTTGTTTATTAAGATGACTAGTATAGTACTGATCCTTATTGGCATTTCGAAGAAGTAGGATACACATTTGAGCTTCTTCATTCTTGGAGCTGATCTGCATGACTTGTTCTGACACTGATATGTTACTTTTAAGTTTTGAGCTGCATGTCATGTTGCTGTGGTGTTTTGTTATTTAATTTACTTTTTCTTTAATTTTAACTTTGACCTCTACTTTTTTTGTTAATGGAAAAGGGGAAAAGATTCATATTTACGTCTTCTAATGTTAAATCTAATCCATGCAGTTTTCTTGTTTGTTGTTCACACCTACCACACCTTCAAGAATACTATCCAATTTCACATGTTGGATGTGGTGTTTGTGACCTAAATAAACTGGAATATGTGTAATGTTCTTATTTACTAGTGTACCCGACTGAATTTATAATGCTCAATTTTGTGTTAGTCTTAATTTCGTAAGATCTCGAGATTAACAATTTAGATAGAAGTATAGTCCTGAATAGATCATTATGCTAAAAGTTGGTCATGTAGTCAACTTTACTTAGTGAGAGAGAGATTGATTGTTGTTGTTGTAGATGACTTCCAATAACTAAGTTATAGAATGCTACAATCTATTTTCAGTTGGAGTCATGTTTCCAGTTGGAAAATGATATCAGAAAAAAGCTTAAAATGAGCTGGTTTCATTCTTGACATAAATTTTCAAATTTGAGTAGAATATTTTATTTTCAGCTTGCATACATGTTAATATTGCATGGTCTGTTGTTGCGTGCTAGTTCAAACATTTTCTGGGTAGCAATATGACTGTGTTTCCAACAAATTTCAGTCCATCATGCCTAAAATTGTGTAATTAGCTATAGAAAAATAAATTTCACGGTGTTAAGAAATGTAGTTGGATCTTAGTTATTTTTACAAAACCAATTTGGAGGGTGGGGATTGTCCCTATTTGTAAACACATGTTCAAGTCATATATTATTTAGATGCCGAATGCTTCATTCACGCATGTCTTTGTTATAAAAGACGCACTTCACCATCTATATGTTTTTCATTTGGGAAAGTTATATCCACCTTCCTCAAGGTCTATAGAACTCACATCCCTTCTATTATTTCAATGAGGGGTAAAAATCCTATAGTTTGCTTTTGTTGTCATTTCCCACATTGTTTCTGTTGAAACCTTTGAAATAATCACACTCCTATTTTCCACATTGAAGCATATCAGAGATTTTTTTTTTACTGAAGCATAACAGACCTAGAACCTAATTTCTCAAATGCGAATTCTTCTCAAATATTTAAGATACTGCTTTTATTTTTTTCCAAACTAAAAAAAGTTAGCATTTGCAATCACATAAATCATTTTTACATAAATTTATTCGTGGCTGGACAATCAATTGACTCATAAAACTATCATGATGCATCAACGGTGATAGCAACCCAAAAGAATGACCAAGGGGCAGTATTTTATTTTAATTTAAGGATTAGTCTAGTGGTAGAGATTTGGTCTTAAGAGTATGTTCTTTTTAAAATTCTGAATTTAAGTTTAAATTCTATTATGTACTAACATTAGATTAAAGTCCATACATAATTTATTCTGTTAAACGATATAAGATTTAAAAAAAATAAAAATAATAATCTTAAATTTTGTAAAAGTAAGAATTTTACTTTTAGAAAATTTGTCTGGACACCTTTTTAATTATTACTTTACATCCTCCAATTTTTTATATTGACAAAAATATTTCTTATTTTTTCATTAAGAAATAATGAAATCCTTTCTCTTTTGTGCTAAAAAATCGTAGGCAAATAAAAAAATTGGTATGCACTTTTATCGATATTTAGAAAAAACTAGTAAAATCAAGTTAATTTTTGGATTTTAAAAAAAATTTGATATGCTAATAAAAAACAAAAGTTAATTCTATTGAATATTTCTTTTTGATAAATCTGGTATAATTTGTTATGTTCTGAATTTTTTAAAAATTTGGTAATTCATATCCGATAAGCCAATAAAAAAAGGAAGCAAATATTGATAGTTTTTTTGGATAATGAAAATCTGGTATACATATAACATATGTCTCAAGAAATATTGATACATTGATCTCTGCTTTACTAAACAAGAACAGAACAAGAACAGAATAAGAACATTCTGATATCTCAAAGTTATAACAGTGTCATGACATATGTTTCAACATCTGTTAAGACATATTTTAGAGCATAAGAATAGACTGAATTATACATAGTAGAATGATAAATAACACCAAGATATGATGATCCAGTTCAGTGTACAACAACACCTACATCTGGAGGCTATCAATCCAAAAATGAATTCACTTTCATTAGTATTAATTCTAAGTATACAACCTCCGGTAACTTATCACTTAATTCCCTATCCAGTGCAACTTCTACTTAAAAACCCATCTATATAAGAGAAACTCATCTCCTAAATCACCTCAGTGATATCTAACAATCACAATCTCCGGTGACTGTATCAAGTTGTTCAATTGAAAGACAACCCTTTCAACACAATATTCAGTCAATACTCTTAAGTAACACTAATACTTGAATTTGCTTAAAAGCTTCATCCAAGAACAATATACAATTCATTACCTACAAGTTTTTGAATATGAAAAACTATGTCTACCACATTATATCAAACCGATACAAAGGGTGACTCACAATACAAGAAAAGTACAGGACTCTCAAAATCCTAAACCCTTATTTTTGCTTTACAAAAGTCTTAACAAGGACTAGTGATTTGCCCTAGGTCTTAGTCTTACTTTTATAATCTTCAGTTATCCATGGGCTTCGAAATCTCTGTCCAATCATTACTTGATCCATGTTCTGATTGTGCATTAAATCTTAGAACAGATCTGCAACAAACCTGCTGTATTAGACCAATATATCGAGTCCTCAAGATAGGACATCTTGTCTGACATATTGTTCTTTACAGATTTTTTCATATTAGAACATCTTGTTCAACATCATGTTTTACCGAAATTTAGTCAAATTTTAGAGCCTTCAATCTCCTTCTTTTGACAAATTTTGGCTAAAACTCCTTTTGTACAATAAACCCAAGAAATCAAGGAGTATAAAGAGTATAAAGTTCTGAAGTCATTTCAGCCGGCTTAGGACGAGTTTAACAGAAAATAATGTGACTCCTGGAAGCTTTCATTCTTCCTATACAGCTGTTCGGATGATTTACAAAGCACACACCACCTGTTATATGATGTGTACCCTTTTTCCTGGTGTACATGAGGAGGAAGATACAAGACACTCCCCCTCAAAACCAATCCCAATATACCATCCTCCATTATCCAGATCAAGGCTCAGTGGACCAAACCCCAACTCCGAATAAATCAGAACACAAGACACAACTGTGTTCATAACTCAGATCACACGACACAAAAAGAAGACTCTGAATAAAAAGAACTGAGACACAGACAGGATGTTAGAGCATCCTATCAACATCCTCGCAAAACAACTGCAAGAACGGACTCAAGACACAAATGAAGATCAGTCATGTGTGGCAAGGAACAACACACAAATGAGATAGACACACAACCCATCTCTCCCTTTTTAGCCAAAAATTGACAAAAGTGTCCAACACAATTCCATACCCAAACAACACACACCCAAACCTGAACAAATGTCGTAAAATCACGACACAACAAAAACACAACCTGAGACAAAAGAAGCAAAGACCCCCTTTAAATACCCGAACAATTTCCTTAGGAATTAACGAGCCATTTATATTATCGAAGATAAATTCAATGAGAACGTAAATTGAGGAAGATAACTTTAGCAAAAATGAATGTGCACCGACCAACTCAACTTTGACTGTTTCTTCTTTAATGAGAATCGTCCAAAGAATATGCATGTACCGAAGAAACATGTTTTGCACACCCTCTTTAAGGCACATTTTCCAACATCCAAGGAACACCGTCCACATAGAGCCACTTACAAACAAACACGAGTCCTAAACAATGTCCTGACACTCAGTCAGACCTTGTCTACTCTCTCTTGTTAACTTTGAAGCATAGTCACAGTGCCTTCCAATGAACTCCAAGCATACTCCTTTCATCCAGAAATAGAAAATCCTGACCATGATGTCAAGATATTATGTGTGACATCTTTCATTTATCAACAAAAACTCCCATGAACCTTATCCCAATCTGCAGAGAAAACTAAATTCTCCCAGACAATATCCAATCCTATTTCTCAAGTCTCTCCTAAGAATCATGAACATAGTTGAAATAATTCAATAGCCTTAATAATTCAAACTCACAAGCAGAACTTACTAAGCTAAAGGATTAACACACCACGATGTCAAGATATCTTCTCTGACATCACAACCTCGCATGAATCACATAAACATCTTCATGCTCATAAGTGATAAAATACCAGGATTGCAATCCATGTACCATAACCAATAAACTTTTGGATTGAGATTAAATAACACCATTGATCACTCTCCCCCTGAACACATTCACACACTGTCAAATCCATCTTGAATCTTATAGCCATAGACAACCTTGTTCTTTGAGAATAAATCCAATTAAACTTGGAACACTCACATCCCCTAAAGAGACATACAAATTCTCTTAACTCATTGGTTAGCCAAGATGTCATCCACACTTGGAAGACATTAAGCCCCTTCTCCATATGAAGAGAGATACATCCTTAGCCTGCTTCCTTCTCAAGATTCAGCCTGATACAATCTTTTCTAGAGATACTTCTAGCAGAACCTACCATTTACTCACATATAATCAAAATCCACACAGTCTTGACCAATAACTCTACACCATACTCCACAATGAATATATATATATATATATAGCTCTAAAGATGAAAATCAAACTTAGTCATCCTTCAAGAATAACCAATAGTAGGAATGGTGTTCCAACATCATTTAGAACATCAGTCTCAATCAGAGGAGCCATGTACTTTGATTCTTGAAACACCAATCACAAGACTTACCATTTGCATAGTAATTCTTACACCTCCTTAAGGTACACATGGAGATCTTAATATGATACACACTTGTATCGGCTTAATCTTCATACGAATCAGAAAACCACTGAGGAAAATAAACTTTCATGCATCTCATGAAGCTTCTACCAAAAACAGAATGTGTAAACAATCTATCTGATGTTTTAGAGACATCAATCATCCTTAAGCACCTTGGAATTTCTTCTACACGAACCAAGGCATGGACATAAATAGTTTCTTTTTTAACTTTCTGTCTACTACCATTTTGCGCAGACCTTCACAAAGTCAAGAACACCATCATTTGCAAGATCAAATGTTCCAAACATGTGTTGACATACATTTCTTAGACCCTAAGCAAAAGAAAAACCTCCCTTGAGCATACAAATAACCAAATAACCATGGTTATTTGACACAACTCCCTACAAGGATGATCAATCAAGGTTCCACAAGAGTGGTCTTTTGATCCACCAGAGAAACTGGATCTTCCAATTCTAATTCCTCCTTACTCCAGACACAATTCTTGAAAAGCTCATCCCACCTTGAAGAATTTCTCTACCTCAATAGAACAAGTGTTCCATGTTTTCATAGACTTGAAACTTATATTCAAGTTTGAGTAAACAACCTTCATCCTATTTTAAGAAGAAAAAAAACATCCAAATTTCTTCAGCGTATACTAGTAAAAAATGATTTCGTAGATGTAGCTCCGAAAACATCCAAATTTTGACAAAAAAAAAGGTGCGTCCGGATGTGTAACTCCGAAAATAGGGGGCCTAAAAGAAGTTTCGCTAAGTACCTAAGAGTATCAAGGGGTGGATTAAGAAATTGCCTAAAATTATATTTGAGAAAAAAGATGGATAAACGATAAATTAACTCATAATGTATGGGCTCATAAGAGATAACTTATAAGGTAGCTATAACCGATAATGAGTAAGTCAACTAATAGAATTTATAGTGTTTGATAAAATTAACTATTCAATTAATTTATAAATGTAATGTGACATACAAAAATGTCTAATTAACATTTATTTATTTTTCCATTAAGATAATAGTGATAATATATACGTTTAATAATTTTTTCCCGGTATCTTAATCTCGGGTTCATTTTAATTCCTAAACTTTAAAAAAATTTATATTGATCTCTTAACTCTTCAAAACGTTTCATATTAGTTTTTTTGTCCTATTAGCGATGAAAAATTTCAAAAATTCGTCGCTAAATTCGTCGCTAATTAGACAAAAAAACTAATATGAAACGTTTTGATGAGTTAAAAAATCAATATGTACATTTTTAAAGTTAAAGGACCAAAATAAACCTCAAAGTTAAGATACGAGACAAAAGAATATTAAACTTAGTATAAAATACTTGAATTGGTTTATAAATAAACTAAAAGTCAATAAAAATGAATTATGCACATAAAAATTGACAATTAAAAAATGATTTTTTAAAATTATAAATTTATAAACTATAGGCCAAATACATATCATCATTTATGTTTTGCTTGATAGCATTTTCATCTTTTTTATTTTTCGTGTTTGAACTAGTCTTTTCAAATGTTAGCAAAAATAAGTAAACACGTAATTAAGACAAATATATGAGACCAATTTAAAAATAAAAAAATAAAAAAGGATCAAAATATTATCATGACAAAACCTAAAAGGAAAATGTACATCTATAAAATCGAAATATAAACTTACCAAATAGAAAATAAGTCTAAAAAATCTAATTTTTTTTCTCATATAGGTGTTGCACACTACCTCTTTCACCTTTTTTTATTTATTTTAATTTTTATGTTTTATCTTCTAATATTAAGAAGAATTATGTAAATAATAGATTAGGTTTGTCATTTTTTAAAATCAGATACATTTGTGTGGGTTTGGACCTAATTTCTCATCTTTTTGTGCTCCAATATTCTTACTATATATTTTTTATTCATAAAAAAAATCTAAACAATAAAGAATTATGAAAAAAATACTAAAGACTATATTTGGATTTGATATATATCTTTCCAAACATGGTTAGTTTAATTTATAATTTTTTTTTGAAAATTCAACATTCTATAAATTCGTCATAACAAAAATTCAATGAGTTATATATATATATATACCACAAACTATTTTTATACATGTATAAATTTAACTTTTTATCGATAATTCTTCAGGAAATTTATTTTATTTTTGAGGAATTAAACTGAATTTAGTTAATAATGTGTCTTTTTTATTTATTTTGAATTTTAATTTTTAGTCTTTATTTATTTATTTTTTGAATTTTAATTTTGAATGTTGTGATTATGTCGAAAAAAAGGTGTTTTTGAAATTTCAGGAGTCCCTTTATTTCTTGTTTTTTATAAAGAATAGTATATTTTGATATTATTCGTTTTAAAAGTTTTCCATATATTGTGTAAAAAATTATTTAAAATAAAAAATAAAAAGTAGTTTTAAATAGTTTTTAATTTTATTTTAATAAAAATGTTTTACTTCATGATAAATAAATAAATATTTTGACATACTTATTTTAGTTTATGGGTTTAATGGAGATATTGTAAAAATATTTTATATTATTATTATTAAGTAAAAATATATCATTCTACTATATCATATAAATTATTTAAAAATTTTAATATAATTTAAAGAAATATATAATCAAAATTCTACATTAATTGAAGATAGAACAATAAAATAGTTTATATCAAATGACATCTTTCATTTAACAAATCAATTTTATAAAATTGTGTTAGGTCAAATCTAATATGATATCAGATCCTAAAAATCGAACCTTGGATAATAAAATTGTGTTAGGCCAAACTTTAATAGATAATATAAAATTAATTTACAGCGTGGCATCAAACACAACATGACTCGATATCAAATTTTAAGCATAAATATTTGAGAATAGATTAAATCAATTTGAATTTAAAATAAAAATGTTAATTTCTTGACTTATTTAAAATAAACTGATTAAAATTGTAATAAATATTCTTTTATATTATCATAAAAAGCTTAAAGCTTTCCAAATAGTCAAAAGAAATAAAAAAGATTTAAAATTTTCAATGCTTACCAAACATCACCAATTTGCCTCGATTCTAATCTCACTAACAACACACTACCGTGAACACCACTTTCCAGCCTTTTACTACCAAAATTAAAAACGTGACAACCACTCTCCGAATAGCGCGTGAAAACAGCATACTTCCAATGACCAACATGTTCCGCGTCGTGCATAGCATGTTTCATACTCTCATTGTCCCTCCCATTCAAACCTTTGAAATTTTCCGAAATTCAACAGAGAAACCAAGTAAGAGAAAACTACCAAAACATCCATGGCGTACACCAAGGAACGTGAAAACTTCGTCTACATCGCCAAGCTCGCTGAACAAGCCGAACGCTATGATGGTAACCCATTTTCTTAACTTCCACTTTTTCTCTTCCTAAAGTTCGTTTTTTTTCTTCCTTTGATTCATATATATTCAGATTTGATAGCTTCCACTATTCTAACCTTGATGTTTAATTCGATTACAGCTTTTTTAATTCAATTTAGTTTCTGGGTTACACCGTTTGATTTTATTTGAAAGATGCCCCTTTTGAGTTTTTATCAGTTTTTTTTTTACGATTTGAGACTGAAATTGGAATTGGATTATCGAATTCTGTAAAAAAAAAAAACTTTTACTGTTTTGATGTGATAGAAATGGTGGAAGCAATGAAGAATGTGGCGAAGCTAGATGTTGAGTTGACTGTGGAGGAGAGAAACCTTCTATCAGTTGGGTACAAGAATGTGGTGGGTGCTCATAGGGCTTCATGGAGGATTCTATCCTCGATTGAGCACAGGGAAGATGCGAAAGGGAATGATGTGAGTGTGAAGAGGATAAGGGAGTATAGAAACAAGGTGGAATCCGAGTTGTCGAATATTTGCAGTGATATCATGACTATTATTGATGATCACCTTATTCCTTCATCTTCTGCTGGTGAATCTAGCGTATTTTTCTATAAGATGAAAGGGGATTATTATCGGTATTTGGCGGAGTTTAAGAATGGTGACGAGAGGAAAGAGGCTGCTGATCGTTCCATGGAAGCTTATCAGGTCCGTATGTACTCAACTCGTGTATCACCAATGTTGAGTTATCGAAGTACTTTTTTTTTTCTGCCAATTTATGTTAATCTGATTATTCGTAAATATTGCAGACAGCTTCTACTGCAGCAGAAGATGAGTTAGCTCCCACACATCCCATTCGATTGGGTTTGGCTTTGAACTTCTCTGTCTTTTATTATGAAATTTTGAACTCTCCTGAAAGGTATGCCTATTACTGTTATATAATATAACATCCCGTGTCTTCTTTGTTGGCATACTAACAGATTTGATGCGGCACTTTTTTCGTATTTCAGGGCATGTCACCTTGCTAAGCAGGCATTTGATGAAGCAATCTCTGAGTTGGATACTCTGAGTGAGGAGTCTTACAAAGATAGCACATTGATTATGCAGCTTCTGAGGGACAACCTCACATTGTGGACTTCAGACATTCCTGAAGAAGGAGGTAATCATTAATAGAAATTACGAATTCTTTTTCAGTATGTTAATTGGAATTGGTATGAACATTATCATGGATTGTTTTTCAACTCTACATTTTCACTCAAAATTAATTCCTTCTAGTTTTATTTTATGCAAGGTGTATTTTAGGTTGTCCCGTAATTCTTATTATTTGTGTTGGATAAATTACCCGTAATTCTTCAAAGGGAAAACTTTGCATCACCTTTATGTAATCACACAATTTTGTTTATGTAAAGGATGTGTGGTTTAGGGGTTGAAAATGAGTATGCCCGCTCCGTTTGGATCCGTCCCCCCAAAAAACGGGGCGAGACAGTCAAAGTAGAGGGTGCAGACCTGCTGCTACTCTGGCAAAAAGGCATGCCCGCCTCCCCAAAGCCCTCCAAAAAATGGGGTGGGGCGGTCAATGTAGAGAGTGCGGTTTCAAAACCTTGACTTAGCCAGACGAAAAATGGCAGGTTAAACGGGTAGGCTTGACCCGTTTTCCCACCATTAAGTGTAATTCATTGTGTCTTTTCTCTAATCTACCTCTTAAATGATATCCTAAACATGTTCAAAATCAAATGCTTCACTATTTGAGATACTTTCTTTTCTTATTCTAATTTCACTGAGAAACTTCTTAAGGAAACACTAAGCAGTGTTAAACATTTTCATTATGGTTTCCTATCAACCGTAATTATATTTTGCTGTTATTTCAAAACTTGGCTGTTTTCTCATCATAATTTTCTAGCAACTGTTTTTACTTATGTCGCTTTTTTAACAGGTGAGGAACCAAAGGTTGAATCTTCGCGAGCTGGTGGAGATGAAGATGCATAGGTTGGCACAATTGTCCAAACTCTTTGAACAAATCTCATTCGTTCTTTGTCAGCGATTTTCGCAACTTTTACCTTTAGGATGTTGTAATAGGACAAGAAGTTGGGATTGCATGGTGTTGTTTGACTGTAATTTAATGTTTGGTTTGTTTTTAAGTACATATTTGCAAAATGGATGCTTGCTTCATTTCATTCATCAATTTCATACAGATAAGCCTTTTATTGATCATGGATTGTGATTTCCATCCATATATTTTTGGAAAAGTTTAGTGTTCTCTAGTACGTTAGAGTTAACATGTTAATTGATATAAACAATACTTAAAGCATGAGAATAATGTCAATAAATATTTTGCTTGAAGAGGAATAAGTTGAAATCCTTGTCGAGACTACAATTTTAAACAAAATGTTAGACTGCGATTTTAAACAAAATGTTATGTCTAAATCTTGCAACTATTTCACGAAAAGCATGTACCAAATCTTCCTTTGGTTTAAATTAAAAATTAAAATAACAGCATGCACCAAATCTTCCTTTGGTTTAAATTAAAATAACAATAAATAAATTTTAAAAATTTCTTAATCCACCCTTTGATACTCTTAGGCACCTAACGAAATTCTTTTTATACTTTTTACTTTCAGAAATACATATCTGGACGCACCCTTTTTTTCTTGTGAGAATTGTCTTGTATGATTCATATATGTTTTTTTAACATGTTTTAATGTTCAAAGTTGTTTGATTCATTGCCTTTCTATGTTCATGCTTGTTTTTGTGAATACATACATGTGAAAATGACCTGTTGAACTTTATCTGTGACCTATACCATGATTCTTGATGTTCTAACCTCTTGAATATGTTTATAATGCCTCATTCTACTTGTTTATGTGTCTTGTTAGAACCATAACATGTTTAGGGTTTGTTTCTTGCCTTTATGAATGCTCGAATGTGAATGGTATACCTTGAACTTCTTTGTGATTCATAACATGATTCTTGATGTTGTAACCTCTTGGATATGTTTTTCATGCCTCATTCTACTTGTTTATGCGTCTTGTTAGAACCATGGTATGCTAGAGTTTGATTGTTGACTCGGTTGTTACCATGAAACTTACTTACTTTTCCCCATGAAGTCATGAACAAATACTTGAATTGTTGTAACATTTCTTGTGTCTTTTGCTTGTTTGATTGTTATCAATACATGTTTAGATGGTCTTATGTTGTTACATTTGATCTCATTTGATCCTTATAACATGCTTGCTTCGAGTTCTAACTTGTTTGCATTAATCTCGTTTGAATGTTATAGATGAACTTGTTATTGTTACACATGTTCTTTACTTGCATTGATGTTATTACCTCTATGTATTTATGTTGATCTTGACTATTGTTTATATGTTGTTACATGTTCTTGCTTATTTTTTTAAACTTTGTTAAGCCTTTCCCAAGTGATAGAACTTGTTAGTTCCCATCCAGTTGCCTCATCTTTCTCCTATTCCAAAGGAAAGTTTCTCCATTGACCCCCAGGGTCATAGATAGCTCATTACCCTCTCATTGACTTTGTTAAGTCATCTTGAATCCTAGCTTAGTTAAGTTAGAACCTACTAGCCATTAGACTTTGCTTAAGTCTAAAAAACCCACATTTACTAGAAGTGTTCTTCGACTAGAATCCTGGATTAGAGTTTGTCGACTCTAAGTAAGGATCATTGTCATGATTACTTACTCCCCTCTTAGCTTTTGTCAAAGTCAATCCCCTTGAGTGTACAACTTAGAATAGAGAGTTTTGTTAAACTCTATACAAACATTGTTATGGTTGTTCCCCTTTGAACCTTGACCATAATCTAGTGTTCATCCACCCTCAGTAAGCTGAACTATGATTGCTCTGATTCTATCCTAGTAAGGATACGTAGGCAGAAGATGTGATATCTTTGCAAGAAAACTTAGAAACATCAACCCTAGGTCTTTACCTCAAAACCCTAACCTTGATCCCAAAGCATAGCAAGTAGTATAGCATACAAACATACAAAAGGTTCCTGTAGAGTACTACAGATGTTTAGGATATGAAATACCTACTCTAAGCATAACCAATCCCCGATCCCCTAATCTATTAGCGTTGTTGTTACATTGTGCAAAAGGTCTTTCTTTCTTTAACCTTTCCTTTGGATAAATCAAAGTCTGGTTATGAATTTAATGAATTAAGATTCAAGTTAATCAATAGCTTGACATCCGATTCTCACCGCAACAGTGACATTCAACCTTGCCAGATGATCAACCATACCACTCTCAATCAGAATATCTGAGATCAATCGTCCAAGAGGAATGTAGTTCTTCAGCTTCTTTGAATCATTTCTTGTTTCTCTTACAGAGTCTCTGAGGTATCTAAAGAGAACTGAAGGAATGCATATTTTCTCTCCTTTCATCAGATAATACATCATGTATTTCTGACCAATGTTGATGAAATCAGAAGAACTAGATGCCGGTCTTTGATGGATACAACCCAGAATGATTATGTGCCAGACGCGAGGCTCCTTAGGTAAATCCTGACTCTTGAAGGGAGGTTTACCATTAGTTGATTGAGTGAAGATTTCTGGGTTGATCACTTCAGATAAAAACTTTGATTTAGAACTCATCTTATAAATACACTTTCCACTAGAGTTCTCCATTCCAAGTAAAGTAGCCATGGATTTCTTAGTAATGATAAACTTGTTTCCTAAAACATGTGACACGATGAAGTGTTCATTAGCATCAACGAATCTCCAGAATTCCTTGATAAGATTAACAAAAATGGGACCTTAGAGACGACCAAAGTAGGTTCTCCAACCTTGAGCATTTAGTTCCTTAAACAAGTCTATTTCATTATCAAGCAAGTTATCAAAGTCTACTAACCATTCACAAAGAACTTCTAGTTCTTCAAAAGGGGTAGATAGATGAATGTGAGGTGGACGATCCATAATGTGAACTTTAACAGGTTTCTAAAATGTAGATAGCGATTGATGCAGCAATGTTGAAGCAGTTTGAGTAGAAGTTGAAACCATTTGTGATGATTCTACATGTTGTGATTATTGAGAGAAGTTGTACACGCTTTGTTGATGATTATCCATTGAAGAAGATGATGGAGTCATGGAGCACAAATGGTTTTAGGGTTTCTAAGAAAAAGTGTGGGAAGTGAAGAGTAGCGTAGTGTGTGATTCTGAGTATTTAAAGAAAGAATTTGATGATTACAAAAATAGGGAGTAATAGGAATAATTATTTGAAATGTAGTCTCACAAAATCACAATGCTCGAGGTGTCTCTTCAATAGTAAATTATGATTTGATATTGGATAAGTGTCACAAGAAAAACATAGCCGTCTGTTTCACAGAACACGATTGATGTTCCCAAAGTCAAGAATACCAAAAGGTATCTGACTAGACATGTTTCTGACCAAGACATCTTCTAACATGTAGAAGCATCTTTATTTAGAAAGAAAAATAAATAAATCAAAAGAATATTTGCTTAAAGTCATAATCACTTTTTACAGAATAAGATTAAACATATTCTGATAAAATTTATTCTGGACAAAAATCCATAAATAAGTTTTTCAGAGTGAACTGAAATCTATCTTCAGCTAAGGGTTTTATAAAGATATCAGCACACTGATGGTCTATATCTATAAATTTTAGAGTTAAAATCCCTTTCTGAACATAGTCTTTGATGAAATGATGTTTAATTTCAAGTTGCTTAGCTCGAGAATGTAAAATTGGATTCTTACTTAGGCCAATAGGAGTTGTGTTATCACAGAAGATAGGAATGTTACCCTCGTGAATCTAAAAATCTTCTAATTGATTCTTCATCCAGAGCATCTGAGTATTGCACAATGATGCTGAGATGTATTCTTCTTTTGCAGTAGACAGTGCAATGGTTGATTGCCTTTTGCTTTCCCAAGAGACGAGGTTGTTACCCATAAATTAACATTTCCAAAAGTGTTTTTCCTTTCTAATCTGTCTCCAGCATAATCTACATCACAATAACCAAATAGCTTGTACTCTGATGTTTTTATACATCAAGCCAAGGTTAGTTGTTCCTTTTAGATACCTTAGGATTCTCTTAATAGCTGTTAAGTGAGTTTTCCTTGGATCTGATTTGAAACAAGCATACAGACAAACACTAAACAAAATATCTAGATGAGAAACAGTTAAATACATAAGAGAGCATATCATACCATGCTAGAGCTTCTGAAAAACATTTTTACTTACTTCTTCTTTCTCCAGAATGCATGGGAGTCTTTGCATGTTTACTATCTGACATCTCAAACTTCTTCAGAAGATCTCATGTATATTTGCTCTGATGAATATATGTTCCTTATGGACGTTGACCAATCTGAATTCCCAGAAAGAATTTGAGTTCTCCCATTAAACTCATTTCAAATTATTCCTGCATTAACTTAGAAAATTTCTTGCACAAGGAAGGATTAGCAGAACCAAAAATAATATCATCAACATAAATTTGCATAACCAGAATATCATTCTTAAAGGTTTTGCAAAAGAGTGTAGTGTCTACCTTCCCTATGGTAAAATCATTTTCCAAAAGGAAATTACTAAGTCTATCATACCAAGCTCTGAGAGCTTGCTTCAGACCGTATAATGATTTCTTTAGTTTAGAAACATAATCTAATTTCTCAGAGTTTTCAAAGCCAGGGGGTTGATGTACATACACTTCTTCAGAAATATACTCATTTAAGAATGTACTCTTAACATCCATATGATAAAGAATGATGTTATGATTAATAACAAAGGAAACTAATAAGCAAATATATTCTAACCTGGCAACTGGTGCAAAGATTTTAGTATAGTCTATCCCCTTTTATTGACTATAGCCTTATGCAACCAGTCGAGCTTTGTTTCTTACGATCTCACCTTTCTCATCGAGCTTGTTTCTGAATACCCACTTTGTTCTAATGACGTGGACACCTTTTGGTTTCTGAACAAGATCCCAAACATCATTTTTGGGGAATTAATTCAGTTCTTCTTGCATGGCCAG